TGGATGTCAAACAAAAGGCGAAATGGCCTCTAGATGGTTTTTGGATCACTTCAATGATCTCGCTGGCTGACTGCCTAGCAAGCACTACTGGTTGGTAAGTGAATTGCATCCCTCACCTTCAGGCAGGTCATGTTTTCTTTAAATCAGAGTCATGAAGACTATCAACGTAGCCTGCGTATTACGCGTAGATTGTTCTCAGTGTATCGAATCACGTTAATCTCAACGCACATCGTAAATTAATCATTTTTTGTTCAGATATATTCATTTATTATCAGTGGTTCATAGTTAGAATTCTCTATGTACATATAGTCCGACCAGTTTGATTCTCAACCGTCAACACACTCCTAAACCTTCCACTAAACGGAGAGAATTTGTGACCAGTAAGGATATTAGATGATGTTAAGTTTATGTCATGTCATCTGGTGAGCAGGATTACGGAGTATTTCATTTCTACTCTTTAATATATATATATATATATATATATATATATGTATATATTTATATGAGAGAGTAAAACTTGGACACTGCGGTAGTTATTGCCTAATTTCATGTCAATTAATTTGTTATACATATTACTCACATGCAGAGTAACTATACACAGCTGTGAAACTTGAGTTTTATAGCTCTCGTTATTTTTTTCGTTAGTCGTCAGAGCAGCAGAAGTCTCCAGATGTTTGGGTGGACAGATGTGTTGAATCATTCCTGTTGCGCCTATTTTCAGTTAGATTCGATACATCAAGCCTCAGTTATCAATCTGTCTCTATCTAACATGTTATATTAGATTTTAAGACTGTTATTTTGTTCCATCTCTTAGTCTGTATGGCTGTGTATGTGACTTGATGTAGAGTAGTATAGCTGAGCGATTTGAAATACTTCTCATCTTATTTTAGGGTCAACAGATCACCTATTTTGTAGATATTTTTTTACTGCATAAATCTAAATTACGCTAACTTACTAATCTGATCTGTATGTTTAGTCTCAATGAGTATTAAATAAAAAAATTATTTTGTTTTATGGGCTCCATTGCATTGTCTAACTGGCTTCGATTCCCAGCCGATGCACTCATTTTTACCCAGTAAATAATACTCTCTCTTAAACCGATATATCAGGTAGGGGTTCACTGAAATTGGTAGTTTAAAAATGAACTCCCAGTTTGCAGTTTATGTAGTTTAAGAGGGTGAAATTTTACGTAAAGATTTTTTGTGTGGGAACCAAAATTATATTCCGAGATCACACACAGTATGTGATCTATTTGATGCCATCTAGGTGATAATCAAGAAGGCAAGCATAAATGTATGGTACTGTATACTACTGACTAACTGGATGACTGAGATGAGTAGTTGGATACCACTTACATGTCAACCAGTAGTGCTCGCTAGCCAGGCAGACCGTTGAAGTGACCTAAACGCCGGAGGGCTGTTTCACTGGTTTGAAGCCGAGCTAATCACTGGAGTACCCAGTTTGGCTCAGTTCAAAAACTACCTGAAAACTGTCTGGCTATCTACTTATTTGAAAAGTTAACACGTTAAATAATATCCGCAAATGAAATTTCACCGCAATTTCCTTTGGAAGACCTTATTATGCCTGCTTTCTTGAATGCCATTTGTATGGTATCAAGCGGATCACATATTGTGTGTGTGTGTGTGATCTGAATAATTTCGATTCAGTCTTTAGACTAATGTTGACATTGCATAACAATGTCTGATACCCCTCAACGAAAACATTCAGGGTATTTTACAGGTCACCATGAGACATGAGCACCGTATTGTATATCAGTTATAACTTATTGTGTAGTTTGGTCTATCGAAAAGAAAAACCACTACCCCCGTATCCTATCATTCATTCACCTCAACTTTACTTCACCTCAACTCACCTTAGCTCAATCCTGGTTCACACACGCAGACACCCACACACACACACATGTGTATATATATAGAAAGAATGATTGATTAAAGCGTGTGAGTAGACTCGCTCAAACACTGAAACGGAAACAGAGATGCGAATAACCTTGAAAAATCGATCTCATTGTTTGCTTAATTTCAACTGCCTACAAGCTGAACAATATCAAAGTAAGTAGATTACAAAAAAATCTGGAATGATGTAAATTATTGAGCTATTATAAGTTGAAACGACTGACTATTGATCGGATAATTAGAAAACTCATACGGGATTCGCCAACTTTTCATTATCTCTGGCGAGAGAGTAAGTCCATCGAAGAGGTTGTGAAGCTATGCAACGATTGAGTTGGCTAGGACATGTGTTTCTCATACCAGCCTTGATATCTCCTTCGTCAATGGCCAGTGCTGGGTGACATAGACACAGGTTGGTAAAGAGTTAGGTGGGATTAGTGAAGTCAAGTTGACTGTTGGTTGGTTGGTTGGAAGGGCTTACAATACCTAACTGGTCGGGATCCTGAAGGACAACGAAAGTTTCACAATTAAATCAACCAGTGCAGAGAACACAACCAAATCAAAATGGTGGATTTCCCCAGCCATGACTTCTTATCACTATTTCAAGACATCCATCGATAAGGTACTGATGATCTAGAGACTGATATTCACACCTTTGGTTTTTCTAAGAATTTTGATTTATTTTAGTTACAAACATGAAAAAAACTTGTGCAGGTTGACTGCATGCTATCAGTAGAACCCTGTGGTGGTAGGAAATTATTCGAATATTATCTGCCTTGTCGGTATTAGTTTCTCATCAAATATTTGCTGTTTCTGGTCATCTCATATCTCGTTGATTTCTAAGTAAGAAACCTTTCGTTTGACTTATTAAGTAATATTCCAGTTCAGACTCTCCGGCATCATAAGTCAAAGTCTCCTTTTACAGTTTGTTTTGTAATTGATGTATTCTACCCATTCTTCTTTATTCTATTCTGGGCTTCTCTAGATAGAAGCTATATTATATATTCCGTAGAACTTTGAAGGGCATCGTCAGGACTATTGGATTAGTGCCTTTACTTAACTAAATGACATTGGTGTTGTTAATAAGCAAGCAAGCAGTTAACTGGCTAGGGTGTCATCTTGTCGGATCCTGAACATCATCTTCTTTATTATTTTACAAATTTCTGCCTTCATGTCTCCCCAGGTAAAAAGAAACCTGAAAGGAAATTTCATAGGATTCTATGCTCATAAAGGCTGATAAATATGAGAAAATTCAACCCAAACCACATTTAGCACGGGTGTTGATTGTGTGAACGGGGAGAGAGAGAGAGGAATATCAGAAAAGAGCTTATTAAAACCTATTTCATAATCAGTAAATAAAAGCGAACTGCAAACAGAATAACCAGTATTCTTCTATAAACCTTTTCACAGTTTTATGATACTTACAATTCTACACATATATTTATTTGTTAAAGGCGATAAATTATCGCTGTACGCCACGTATACTATGCCTGAAATTCAACTTGTTATGGAAATTTATTGTTTGGACTAAAGCAAGAACAACAGTTTGTGCATAGTAATATGGTACCATCTTTTAATTCGTTGGCTTCTCATCAGCTGCTTGCAGAATAAATAAATTACTATTAAGTTAATGTACAGAAAGGTTATAACATACTTGCAAATTTTACATGATATCAGTTGACAGGAAGCTCCAAACTTAGTGAACAGTGCTTCCATTAATAATTTCAAAGGATTTTGTAGTTTGCGCCTCATGCCTCGTACCTGATGATGACACTGTTGTAAGTGCTTGTTCGCTTGAGACGTAGGATTTTCGATAAATCTTCAGAAAATCAGAGGTGTGTCGTTCTTTCTGTTCTCCCAGTGCAACTGCTCCCGCAGATACATGTAAATTTGTATACATGGTTGGAGTTAGCATTGACAAAACAGTTCAGTTCTCCCCAATTCTGCCTAAGCAACCTCTAGCAAAACGCCTGAAACCCGATTTATGCGTTCACAAAGAAGTAGTTATCAGTGTTTCTTTGCTCCGGTAACTGGATATCACTCTCTTTCATTTGACTATGTAATCTTTGGCTTTAACCTCACACCCCTTTGATATAGTGTTATTTTGCTTGTCTCTTGTTCCTATGATTTGAGTTGAACTCAGTACATTGCTACCCAATTTATTAGTTACTCATCATCTTACGCATCTCTCATCTTTATTACGTAACTCCTTTACCATTTTATGTATGTATTCACTTTGTTTAAACTTGAACTCCCTGTGTAAAAAACTATATAAGTGCAATTTTCTGAACACTGTTCACTAAATTTGGAGCTTCCTGTCAACTGATATCATGTAAAATTTGCAAGTATGTTAAAACCTTTCTGTACATTAACTTACTAATAATTTATTTATTCTGCAAGCAACTGATGAGAAGCCAACGAATTAAATGATGGTACCATATTATTATGATCAAACTGTTGTTCCTGCTTTCTTCAAATTCATTAATGGGGATAAATGTATGATGTGATTATCACTATTATTTTTATTATTACTATTAATATTATTACTTCAGGAGTGCAATATAAGTTGACATCAGATGGAAGACCATGGGAAAACCAGTCAGGGAGCTGTTCATATCATCCTCCTCTTGAGGAACTCTTCAATGGAACGCACACATCACCAGAGTTCGAAGCGAGAACATCCCGGTTACAAGGCGAGCGAGCCCGCAAACCATTAGGACACTGGGACCCGATCCAGTGATCAGCTCATGAATCCCAACTTCCGCCAATTCACGATATAGGCTGACCACTAGTCAATGTCATCAGTGAGTACTTTTCCTCACGCCTGACCTGCTGTACCCCACTTGTCCTGTTTTGAACCCCAGTGGGTGCGTAATGCTGAAGAGTCGTAAACTAGGACGAATTATATGTCCAGCACTCACTGCCTGACATCAACTCATGATGAAACCCTGAAACCAGTCAAATCTCTGCAAACCCATAAATTGTGTTCGAAACGTCATCCAGTAAATAATACTGTTTCACTGTATAGTATATCTAATAAACAAATTAATGTGGAATTACAAAACTTAAATTATTATTATTGATACTCACCTGATGGTATTCAGCTGCATTTCTAATGTGTACTTGACTTAATCGAGCCAACTGGGAAACATAACTCCAGCAACTTTTAACATTGTTTGATAGTTCCTGTTCGGTGATTTTCATCGGTTGATTGGTTGTTCGTTTGTTGGTTCGATTGATTGAACAGTAAAACATAAGGAAAAAAGGGGTCAAGGAAAAATAGGGAAACAGGTGTTAGCTAAAAGTGACACGATAATATGGTACATATTTGGATTCCATCAGTTTTCGCATTTTCAATGGGACAAAAGGCAATCAAGATGTTGTTAAGTTTCAGTAGCGAAGGGTCGTGTTGCTAGCCTCTCACATATACAGTCAACCTTACCTCTTTATCGATGCTTGCTATCCGTCGACTAGTAAACTAAGCAATGCTCATTGAAGTATATCGGCAGTCGGGAATCAAACCCCAGACTGGTTAGTGAGTAAATTCTTACCACTGAATTATTGATGCACACGATTGGAAAAATAAATGTCTATTTGAAAATAAGATTCGCTATAGGATATCAATGGCCTCCGAATTATTTATCCGACATCGTACAAAGCCGAACTATGAAACCTACTTATGAACTGTGGTCAATGCAGAACTTTAACCAGAACTGCAGTAGTAGTTCAGGTTGTCACACTGTATATGGATCACATAAAGGTAGTGAAATGGAGAGTAAAGAGACAGAAGAGATTGATAATAATTATAATGACCAGAAATATTGATTCTTCGCGTCTCGAGCACTCCCACTGAGCAGTCTACACCACCCTAGGTGATTGGCTAAAAACCAACAACCGAAGGCTTGGTAGAATGATTCTGTGTTTTAGTTAAACCACCCCTAACCCTTTTCAAGTTTAATTTTATGTCACCTAACATTACTTGTCAACAGAGGCGATGGCTGGGTATGTGATACATATGTCCTAGCCATTTCAATCGATGTGGAACTTCGGAAACCCTATCGGTTAGCTTCCCTTCCTTACCTAGCACTATGCAGCTAATGTTGTGGTTAGTAACTGGATCTTGCAAAGTGCCAGACTAGTAAAATTAGGTATTCATTCAAATGACTGTAGTTTAGGGTGACGAGCTGAAGTTTAGGCGGTAGCCATGGGTATTCCCCTTTCGAAGTCACACAGTGTACTCTGTTGCCTCACAACCTTGTAGATGAGAATTCAAGTCAAAGGCCTGGGCAGGGGCGCTGGTGGTCTTAAGGGGCCACCAGCACTTGCTTCAGTCTCTACGTCTAGGGCACTGAATATCCCAGCTCTCGCACAAACTATCAGACAATAGTTCCGTGTGGTATATCTGTTGGTGGTGTTGGTGCCCATAATGTGTGTTGATTTTGTGTTTTAATAGCAAAAATAACGCACTCACCATGCAAACCAATCAATCAGTCAATACTTAATTCAAAAATCAGTGATTAACTTACCTTCTTGACATGTACTTCATCTTTCAACTCTTTCGGTGAACTTAATTGCACAGAGGTTTCTGTAACATTTTCAGTCAAAACCTAAAAATTAAGTTTTTAAAAAATTATGCAATCATTCATAACCTACAGTGAAAGAATTCTCCAACTGTGATATTGTCTCCAGATAACGTAATGCCGCCGTATTATTTTTCACGTCATCCTAGAATTTTGGGGGAAGAAAGAGAGGAAGAGAAAACCAAAACATTAAAGGGTTATGAGAGTTAAGACAACCCTAAAACAAAATAAAATATCTATGGAAATCAGGAATAGAAATGCGTCATGAATACATACAATACACTACGCCATTAAAGACTATGTTAAAATATGCCATCAAGCTTTGGATTTCTTCAGTTTTTAGAAGCAGTGGAGTTCCTAAGTTCACAACCAGCCCTCTGTCATTTTTCCGGGCTAACTATCCATTGGTTAGTAAACTAGGCGAGGATTTTAAGAGGTGGCTGACAAACATTCTAACTGTCTGCTCATGCAAATAAATAGAAACCCAAGAGGCCATTAGGATTTTCTTTGTGAGTTTCAACCTATTGAGTTGAACTGATGAGCTTGTGCTTGGAGTTAGATGATGAATGACGGTCAAGATATATTCCAAAAATAGCTAGAAGAGGATAGATAGCTGAATTATTGACCTGATCCACTACAGCATACTACAATAAACTTGAGCAAAACAACTTTCAAGTGAAGCTTTGCAATATAACCAGGAATTATTCAAAACATTGTCGTTTGTGTTATTAGTTGTTGGCAATAGATGGAGAATTACACAGAGTCAAATAGTTTGACATTGATAAATGACGCTCACAATAGATTCGTTTTGACTACTACTTCCAAGCAAAAATGTAGTTCCTTACTAATGTTTACTATCTACTGATATAAGTATAAAACTTGGGCACTGTGGTAGAGTATAACTCCATAATGGTTAAGATTTTATTTTGATAAATCACACATTGTTGTACAGTAATACTTACTGATGACGTTATGAGCAATAGTTTGTGCTCGAAACGTCATCAGTAAATATTACTGTACAACAATGTGTGATTTATCAAAATAAAATCCTATCCATAAGGGATTTATGTATACGTGAATTCTTCAGTTCAATGTATCTGTTTTGTGTTGTTGTTACTCTCAGTGGGACTCGAATAAGAGGGTACGATCAATTATTCTGTCGACTTCCCACCAGCCTGAAAAATTAGGATTTTGTACATAGCACTTATTGACATAAGTGTCGAAAATCTGAATCTTCTTCTTTACACTGATTGCAGCAGATTTCTACTCGGATTTCATACGCATAAATGCATAGCTGTCTTTTGTGATCATGCATTTGACATCTCATCTGTACCTCTGCCTGCCGCCTAAATAAGTGGAAGGAATGATTTCCTTCAAATTTCTTTAGTCGATAGTGATTGATGCTTGTTATTGTTGTTGTTCGGTGAATATCTTTATCATCTCTGTTTTCTGTATGTTTACTTGAAGTCCTGTCTTTACTGCTTCTGCAACCATTCTATTGGGTTTCGCCTGTATATCTTCTCCGAGTATGTGTGACATAAAGCATAAATTGTCTGTAAAGTTCAACTCTTCTACAGTCTTCTTAACGGTCCAAATTGTTCATATTTTCTCACTCCGCACAGTGTGCCGCATGATCCAGTTCATAGTGTATGAAGTTTCTGTAGTTCATTGTTCTGAACAGCTGTCATTAAAAATATGAATAACTGGTGCGAAATCTTTTTATCTCATGTAGTTTAACCAATCGCATCAATGTGGTAATGTAACGGTTGGCTAAGAATGGGATTGACGAGGCATATTTCAACCTGTTTGAGATAATTCAGCCGGAAGTATCTGCTTCTCAGTAATTGACAGTGTTCCTAGTGACATTCGAACCAACTACTCATCATTTCCACAAGTCCTAAAAAGCATAAAACATGGGTCCAGTATTTCATTTCTGACCACCTTATGAATTCATAGTTTGGGTTTGAAATGCTTCGATGGGCGCAGTCTTGCTTTATGCTTGTGAAATCTGGCTCCTGTGAGCTAAGGGTGTACGCAACTCTGTGTATTGGATCCCCACTGCCTTAATTGCTTGCATTTGATGGCACCATCGTGTACATAGTTCTGAGGTCCTGCAGCTTGCTTTTGATTCATTTATTGAGTCACAGGCTCAGACATATCCTACAAATATCATCTCGGAGGCCTCCATACCGTTTGCTGGATGAAAAAGAGGAGGGGGGGTAAAGTAACATGAACTGATGAATGTTCAGTGATCAGTGGTTTGCTTGCTCGCCTTTTGGACAACCTCCATTGCTATTTATTCTATCCATACTTGTCTTTATAATATGGTTGTTTTATTATCTTTATTTGCTGCATAATATTTCAAATAAACAAAAAATAATACCCCTTATCAACGAAATGAAATCAGGTTAACTTGAAAGTGTCTCTGCTAAGAGCCAAAGTGCCAATAGACACTGACGATTGCAATCCAAAGGTAATTTTAATAGGAGTGAAAAAATGGGACTATTAACAAACTTTACTTACGCGAATTTCAGCAGCTGCTTCAGGCAAGTGAGATTTTTGGGCACCCTAAAAGGAAACACCAATGATAATATAGTAGTAACAGTAATAATATCGTGAGTAGTATCACTAAGAGAATATTAATTTCGATAACGAACTGATATCATTTAGATAACTACTGAAAACCATAATTGAATTACTGGAAAGTTATTTGGTCCTCCTAGTTCGGGACTGTTTTTCATGAGTACAGCGCATCTTTGACCCCAATTCTGGGGATGGAACCGTTTCGTTGAGTGACCCGAAGGTTCTAGGCTTCACCTTCCTTGGGAATACGTGTTTGTTAGTCGGGTGAAACCGTTATCCTTTACTCCCTAACATAAATCAATTGCAATCCCTTATCAAAAGCAATGCACACTTAAAAAACGGGCAAAGTTAAATTCCTAGACACCCTTCACAGGCGTTGTCATCGTACCAATGTCCTTGGGAGACACTTACAGTCAGAGTGTAAGGCAGTTAAACCGAGTAAATGACACATCATATTCACGAGAAAAAAGTGTTGAACGAAGTATCATGATACTAAAAAGGATATCTGATTAGTTTGAGGCTAGATTAGGTTACGAAAAGATCAAGATTAGGTTTAGGCTAGGAGGGATAGGTTGGGGTAAGGTTTGAGTTAGAGGCCCGAATTTGTCTTCAAACCTAATTGCGTCTTTGCAGGTCATTAGTGCATCCACGACTTTAGGTGCCTAAAGTTGAACTTTTCTAATAATATTATTCTTAATAATGAAGAAAACTTGCAGAAAATTCAAGATTCTTTCAACAGATGTTATCCTATAATCCAATTCACATTAGAGAATGAGCTGAATTCAAAAATATCCTCCCTGGATGTTGAACTCACAAGACGTGAACAAGATAAAACACTGAAAACACAGATCGATAGACAGTCTACGTACAAACTGATAACTAACAAATTTTCACAGTTTCTGGTCTTTGCACACGAAACGAAAGTTGATTCTGCTCAATGAACCAAGGAATCCATTACAGGTTTGCAACCCTGACACCATCGGAGAGGGGGACAACACTTTAAATGTGGGGTTCTCATTGGAAATGGTTATTCTCAACGCTTTATCACAAAATTCATTAAGTCTGCACCACAAAAACCACAAACACACACACACACTTTTTGCCTCTGCCCGAACATTTCTTTATCTGAATCTGTAATTCAGGAGAGACTAATAGATACAAAATACTAATAATCTGCTTGTTGCGTTGACTTGAGAAAACCTTTTTTGCAGGTGCACTTTAACTTACTCTTTCTTTACAAGACCAGTAATTGGTATAAACATGAAAGATAAGCTACTATTGTTGACAATCTCATCAGTGTGTATTTATCGGTTTACATGCCTCTGTGGAGTTAGGTTTGTCCACCATACTCAGAGGTCTGCTATCCAAAGGTGTCATCGAAGATTTATCCTGATGGAATTCTAAACGAGAGAAAAGGTCTCCCGCACAGCGCTTTTCTTCTGCACCTGGTGGATACTGAACACTGCGAGAACACGCTAATCAACTTCATAGCCATCATCCACGGTGTAATGCTTTAGACTAAGTAACTGAAGTCGTTCAGATGTCTTGTCCGTCTTCAAGAAGTGCATCCCAGTAACTTTAAAAATTTCGGGCGAAGTTAAACTTTAGCCAGGCCGTCTACAGGAGCAAACACAGCACACCAGTTACCCCAGAATAAACTCATGTTCAGATTAAAATACAATGAAACCAGGTAAATAACAATATATTCATGCAGGAAAAGTGTGTTGAATGAAATGTAACGATATCAAAACAGGATATGTGGTTAACTTTAGATGAGGCGAGGTTACGAATGGTTTTAGGTTAGGGATAGATTAGGGTTAGTTTCGGGAAAAACAAAGGCTAGGATAGAGTTAAATGCCTGAATTCGTTTTATTTAGAGTAAGTGCTTGTTCCGATGTCACCGATGAGGCGTTTGCGCCTTTTGGGTGTCTCTAAAGTTGAACTTCTCTCCAAAATACCAAAATTTAAATTAAGAAACCAACCAATCATAATCAAAGACAGAGAGACTTACAGACTGTTGAATATCTTTTTCTAACTGCATAATTTTTTGTAGCAGCTCAGCTTGTCTTGCACGTTCACTGTCCAAGGCTAAATGGTTGACACCGATGCACACACCACGAGCTTGCCGCTGAAAATAGTAGGATATGTTTTGTATAGAACAATTAAGTATACAATGTCAGTCTGAATCAGTCAGTCAATAAATAAATTTGATCACTTCATATACATTATGACATTGACCCTGTCACTGGTAAATGTGTTGCAAGACTAGTAGATGAACAGGAGGGCACGCAAACAGACTGACTTAGAACCGAACATAGTTCACCTTTGAAGACTGACCACTTAGGGGTGTATATAAAACACAACGCAAATTGACAAACATTGGAATTCATGGGCAACTGAAGTGCTGTGTTGTCCTAATGTCCATGAAGTCCAAGCAAGACGAAGGTCGCTGTAATTCTGCTGGTTTTCATTGATTCCCTAACCATGTATCAGTTTAATGATCTAGTGGAAATCAATCAATTTTCCAACTAATCACTGCTAAGTGAACTCAGTCGAAGAAATTTGGAACAGTAGTGATGTGAACCACTATTACTCAGTCACTGATTTAATTTATCGATTTAAAGACTAAGTAACAACTCTTTGAGTTGGCACACTGTTTGGTTATTGATGTTTAGTGGCTGGTGATGATGAGGTCTGAAGGTGAATTGTTAATTTTCATCTCAGCAGGATTCAAATCAGCGGTTCCAGACACTTTGTCAGTGGAAGTATGAGGCCCAACCACTTACCAAATTGTCATTTTACTGTGATTATCATAAAGCGTCTTGTAAACCAGTGATGCATTACCGTCCGTTTTCCACTGCCAATGTCAACCCGAGTAGCAGTTGTTCCTCATAAGTCAGCTGCTAGCTGGCCAGACTCGGATACTTTGGAGGACGCTGTTTTGAATCCTGTCGTGCTCCAAATTTTAACTATGCTCTCAGGCACCACCCTCTACATTTTCAAACAGGTGGGCACCTACCTCCACATTCATTATAAATGTTACCATCATATTATAATTATTCTCTTAGGTTCGGAGTGGAACATAAGGATTCATTCGGGACACATCACCAATTCACCCTGTTCTATACAGTCATTTCTAATCATTGTGCACTGTGGTAGAGTATAACTGCATTATGGATAAGATTTTATTTTGATAAATCACACAGTGTTATACTGTAATATTAACTGATGACGTTTCGAGCACAAACCATTGCTCATGATGATATCAAGTTACTCACACAACTTTTTTCCTTCATTTATATACATGTGTGGAATCGATTAGATACTGGAATAAAAATCGATTCCACACATGTATATAAATGAAGGAAAAAAGTTGTGTGAGTAACTTGATATCATCATGAGCAATGGTTTGTGCTCGAAGCGTCATCAGTTAATATTACAGTATAACACTGTGTGACTTATCAAAATAAAATCTTATCCATAATGCAGTCATTTCTAAGCCTGGCTTCACGACTGCCATAAAATGTCTTCCATGTTAACCTCGGACACACGATTAGTTCGTCATTTCTCATTCGAGTTCCACTCTAGGGTCTGATTTGCGTGTAATATCCTCAGCTTATATTTGATCCATTTCCAATTCCTACAAAAAATTTGTTAGGCTATTAATTCTTGATTGCCTCGCTGCCTGCCAGAGCTCCTTGTTACTCATCCTTTATGGTCAGCTATTTGACCTTCATTGTCGAGCCACCGAAGGCGTCTGTTGGTCAAAATCTACAGTGACCTATTGGAAATACTTTTGTGACTCATGCGCAAAGTCTCTGAACCATATAGGAGCAGTGAACGACTTCACATCAGTACTGAAAATTCTTATCTTAATTCTCCTACTACGTCCTAATGATCTCTAAACTAATTTCAAGTTAACCAGCGTCACTGTCACCCACCAGATCCGACCTTGGCTGAGTTTGACACCATCATCAATGCCACCGCCTGTAGATGAAATGAAGCTGGCAAAGCCAGATGAGTGAAAGAGACAACTCCCTTTACAGTTCTCCCATCTATGATGTTGACTGATGCCTACTGTTCTTTTTAGTTAGGTGTTTGCATTCCCTCTGTCTTCTCTATATTCAGTTGAATTCCTATCTTCTGTGTCTCTTCTGTCAAATTGTTAGTTTTTGTATGCATATTGTAGAGTTTTGGTACATCTGACACTAATCATTTGTAAAATATAGAATTTCTAGAGCATTTTTCGACCCAGTGAGCACCCATCTTCTCACTTTTTACTGTAACCCGCAAAATCCAGTCCACCACAATCAGGAATAGTAGTGATAGTAGGGGCAGCTTTGTTCTACTCTAGTCTTCATTATAAACACTTCACTGAGCTACCTAATGTGAATTAACTTTGACATTTAGCAACACGATCATACGGCTGTTGAATCGGGTTTTAATAAAGGTTTTGCAACTCTAGACTGCGTAGTGTTCAATCAATTGGCGTATCACTTCTCAGTCTTATAGTGTAGGAAACATTTCTCTTTCAAATTCGTCAATACTGCTTTTGGCAATATAGGCCTACTGGTGGTCAGTCGTGAAGCCAGATTAAAATAACGACAGAGAATAAAAAAGTAAACTGGTAATATTTATTTTTTTGTTTATTCCTTTACGTTCTGAGTTGAACATAGGGCTTCATGCTAGAGCTTCGACGTTTCGGTAGCACTGGTGTTTACTTCAACCAGGTGGGGTTGTTAACCTCTTCTTCCCGATCTTCCTTCTTTACCAACGTTAATACCGGCTTAGTGAGGTTTAGGAGTACGTTTGCGGGGGATCGAACTCTAGATCATATAGGTGGTTGAAGAGTATTCTATGCTGTACCATCGACAATGACGATATGCCCCATGTGAATTCCTACGTTCCACTCAGAACCGGAGGAGGTAATAACAATAATATTACCAATAACAAGAGACGGATATATTACACTTGCTCACCTCAAAGTCTGTTAATCGAGCCTGTAGACTTTCAGTTGCTATATATGAAATTTAGAAAAAGGTAGAAAACAAAGATGAAAATTAGAAAATATCATACAGTTCTATGATCATTTATGGTAAATAAAAGAAATTATTATAACAAGATTATGCACATGATGACGGGTCAATGGTTCAGTGTTCCGGGTTCGATTCTTGGCCGTCACTTATCTGCAAAACCTTCGTTAACAAATCCCGTAAAGAGAGGAGGTTTGGTGTGAGGCCAGCAACTACACTCCGTGAAACATAAAACGAAACCACTGCTACTGGAACTTTAATGCTAAAGGCTTTAATCAAGCCTCATGTTCGACTGAGAACATGAAAGAACGTCAAAATCACACATTTCCATATGAAATGATGACATGTCAGAAGTATTCCAGCCACGTAGTACTCAAAGTGTTTTATTTAAAGTCAGCAAAAGATGCTTTTCTATTTGAAAAGGAACAGAAATGAAGCTGTTACATCATAATCAGTGGGGCCCATCAGGTACTGAAGTACCTGAGCTTTCTTAGCTTGAGTTTATTCTCTTTTCTCTTCAGTTTATCTTGAAATCGTTCTTACTAACTTCATTGTAAGCAAACGGTTGCTTAATATTTGAGTGTTGGTCGGTTGGTTTATTTTGAAGATAGATCACGAACTCACTGATATGTCTACTGGAGAACAAACCACCACCTGCTGTTTTGTCCTCCCATAGTTTGGGACTCTTCAGAAGTAAGAGCCCATTACTCTACCAGCCATCAAACCACCCAGGAGCTTCAGGATACGATGCGAGGCAATTAACCTTTCAGCCGCTTAGATGAACTACAGTGGTCAGCCCATGAATTCTAACTTCTGTAGACTCATGATATATATAGTCACCACCCCACAGTCATTGAATCCACCTAGGACTTCAAGCAACTTCATTCTATGGTCAGCCAACATTGACCACTAGATTAACTTTCAAGTGATGGTTTGTGGGTATCAATCCTGAGATCAATCAGATCTCTGATAGGTTCATCCGAAGTGTCCAAAACTTGAAGGACGAAAAAGTTATTCTGTAATACTCCAGTATGGGTTTCCAATGGTTCTATAATTGACGTGTAAGCCACTTTTGGATCAGTCTTAAAGCAAGATTAGTAGGCAAATAAAAATATTATGTGACAAAGTGAAAAGTTCGAAAACTCCCAGAAGTTAGAATTCTTTCTTCTCTGGCTCCATACTGAAGACCAGATGGCCAGTTGACTAGAAAGGATTAGGAAGCAACAAAGATTTCTGCTAGGCAACGGATCAACCAATAACCTATTGCTCAATAAATAAGTCGAAGAAAATGAGGGTAGATAGATCGGATGCAAGTAGTGGAAACCATTATGGAACATTGAGCGCCAAGTCATCGAATAGAATTCGAATGAGGAAAGGAGGGCTGAGTGTCCGAGGGGACTGTGAGGAGATAGTGCGGGGAGAAAATGAGAGTTTATCGGCACTCATGGGGACAAAAAGAGACGACTGCAGTGAACAGGTCTTATTTAAATTCATAAATGTACGCACAACTGTACAGCTTGATAATAAATTCGTTGAGGAGAAAAAAAGAGTCTCTTTTTTGCAATTATTTCCTTTTCGTCGTTATACTACTCACAGGAGGATTTTGAGTATACAGAAAAAGCACGGGAAAGCAATAGAAATCGTAGTACGAAACAGACTTGAATTAGGTAGAATTTGTATGACTGGATCTAAGTGGGCTTTCTCCTTTGAACTTGGAAATAGCATTCCGGTGTTTAGATCACTTCGATTAGGTTAGATAGCAAGTGTGACTGGTTGATGTGAGCACTTTCCTCCAACTAATTATGTCAATCAGTGAGTAGTATATAGTGTCACACTCAACAGATTTTCTTATCTATATCACTGATCGCTTTGCAAACTTATTATCTTCATTCAGTGCCAAAACACTGTGAAGAAAATTAATGGTTGAAAAAAAGTTGTCAGAAAAAAATAATCATTTGTCTTAGAATTCAGACTTTTGTGCTCTTTTGTATGTGAGTGTTGATATACATTGTGTTGGTTAAGAGTTTACGAAATATTGATTTTTTGATTCAAACATTATACATATAGTGTGTTAGCGGTTTACTGGTAGAGTCTCAGGTTTGATTCTCAACCGCTGATGCACTTCTTTGACCATAGATGTTTATGTTCTACCTCTTCTTGTTAGTTAAGCGGTATAATATGGTGAGTAATATTGAGGAGCTTAGATGTGGTGTTAGGTGGTAAAGAGGATAAGTCAGTCGATGAGGTTGTGAAGCAGCTACATTGGTTCAGACGGCTAGGACAACATGTGTTGCACATGTCAATCCATCATCTTCCTTGACGAGCGATGACAGCTGCTGATATAGGATAAGGGTGATCAGACCAAAATCTGTCATTAATCCATGAAATCTTTGTTATTTGCTTTGAATAAACCACTTAGGTTAGTGTAGGTAGATTGCCTGGAGGGTTGGGATCCTCGAGATGCTTAGATCCAGTGATGGCTTGAGACTTTTGGTAATGATATGGCTCAAAGTCGTCCTCATTGTTAATCATAATATTTTTTAAATTATTTTTCAAACCTCCCACCGTGATGTATGCACTACTCACAAGACTTATCAGTAGTATATAAAGAGATGTTCATCTGACCGAAGATACCAAATAGAAGAGGGATAAATTAGACATCAAAGAAAGTGAATGAACCATTTTTGTGGTAAAACATGGGAAAGGCGAAAGAAGACTGAAAACACGGTACGAAGGGTAGCAGTAACACAACATGGAAGACCTGTGCAAATAGTGATTTTTATATAAGGTGTACATGATTTCCTCATTTAGAGATATCAGATTCCAAATAAACATTCCGTTACCAAGTCCCTTGTCTTCTACTGCTACACTACCATTACAGTTTTACTCTTTCTGTGACTCTGATGTCTCAACTGGATTGACTGTCATTCAGTTTCAACTGAACTTCTCATCTACTCAGTCGTGTGAATTACATCATGTCCCTCAATCCGCTTATTCACTTTTATTTCAGTTTCTACCCTGTCTGGGAATGATATCACTGGAAACAAGGAGTAACTGTCGTCTCTGAGTACCTTTTCTTTTAAATGTAGTGCGGGCCTTAGACTCTGTTCCAGTGATAGCTCAATGGTGTATGCAACCGTGTGTTGCAATCTGATGATCCTAAGATGACTCGACCTCTATAAGTGGTGGTGGGTATGTACCGCTTTATTGATGAGTCCCGAGCAAGAAGGAGGACGAAACATCTGTTCAGTACTCCCTATCGCTATCTCTCTAACTGATATTTCTGCCAGTCGGTGATTACTCTTGAAGAACAATTAGCACACCAACTAAGTATGAGAGTAACCAACCAGTCAGGTCAAAAGTTCAAATGATCATATATCATATCATCGGAAATTAATTAAAACAAATGCCATCACGTAATAATAATAATAATTTAAAACAATTAGTCTTTGCAACAAATTTGGATAATGTTATTATTAAAAGATGGCATTTTGAAAAAGTGTTCCTGGCCAAATCATAATGCCAAAATAAGACTTTGTTTTTACGAGTTCGGCACGCAAAGGTGACAGATACTACCGCTGAAGTAATCAAAAAAGTCATCTACCTAAGTGTACAGTGAAACTTCTATTATTTGATGATCATAACTTATAAGCATCTGGTATTCTTCGGAGATAAAGTATGATTTCGCAGTGTATTCAGAATAAACTACCGCTTATAATATGAACAGTCAGTCCGTATTACTTCTACATTGGCCATTCAGGGATAAATATTTAAGGGTGTTGGACAGCTGTTTTGTCGCAGTTTGGGAATCCTTAGCAGTACGCACCCCCTAGGGTTTGAACCCACGACCTTCCGGTTATGATGCGACTTCGTAGGCCATTCAGACACTGGGAACCGATCCAATGGGCCATGAATTATAACTTCTGCCAACTCGTTAAATATATTTAGCGCAACCACCAGCCAGTGTCACAAGCGAGAAGTCATAACCGGTAGGGTCTAAAAAGTTAAACAAGAAGACAGTTACTCGTCTGTTACACTGGCTGGCATCTGCGCTAAATATACGTCACAAATTGGCGATAGGTGCGTACTAATGAAGGGCCCCGCTATAGGAGGACGAAACAGGTGTCCAGCACTCCATGTCTGGTTTTCAAATAATCATCTAACCGATAACAGCGCATGATGAAATCTTGAAACTAATCGAATTCCCGCAAATCAACACTGGATTAATATTTATCTATTTTTCGTTTTGTTTATTTAGTTAATCTATGTACCCATCTGTTATTATTAATTTTATTATTATTGCTACTACTATTCTCATCATGAACACTTTCCGGGTGTTATTTAGCTTGTCCCCTCTTTATTATTTTAAATCAATATATTATTTTGGTAATGTTAAAATCTATCTATCTCATCAAAATCCCTACATCTTGTCACGTAATGTTTTTGTAGTTGATAGTTAATTAATTCTTTTAATTTTACACGATTTACCAAAATCTATACATCCTGTTAAATATATCGCGTAATATAAATATATATATATTGCATAACCTCTTTTATTGTTGTTTGATTTTAACAATTATGATTAAAGTCACAAATATTTCAAGTAGCAGAATCTACACATCAGACCACAGGAAAAGAAAGGCAAAAAGTTGGTTGTAGCGAAGAAAATTGTTTACTGAAGATCTTTACGTTATGTCAACCATTATATATATATATATATATATATACATATATATATATATATATATATATACGACATAGTCTGTTTTGTCAATTGATACTGGAGTGTCACCACAAATCAAAAAACATTTTATTCATTTGGTTCCGCTGATAAATTTCGATAAAGAAAGAAAGACCAAATTAACATTACAAGATGACATCATCATTTGGTTTCACAGATCCTCATTATATGCGACAGACTACCTGAAATTAAAATAGTCATAAATAACGGTAACAAAATACTTCAGTGATTGGATGGTAGTTTTAGTATTAGTACTAGTAGTATTAGTAGTAGTAGTAGTATGATAATTTCAACATAGAAAAGGAGAAGTGGGGTAAGACAGAAAACAGAGAAATCCAGTACACAAACAGTGTTAGCCTACAAGTTAGCATATCAAAACCAGAAGATTTTCGAGCGTATCAAATCACATAGCAAGAAACTTAAGTCTGAAAGGAAGCAGATATTCTCAAATTAGAATAATTGACAGACACCATTCAAACATTAAAGTATATCATTGCCATGCTTTTTAACTAGTTATAATTTTGCGTAGTTTATAGCAGCTGATGAAGATCTGTTAAATAAAACGATAACATCAATTTATAAGCCTTAACTCAGCCATTCCCTCTTTATTGAAACAAAAATTTCATTAGTATTTCACAGTATTTTCTTAGGTATTCAAACGTCCTCTATTTAAATTTCCTTGTAGAATATAAACAGTTTCTTAAAAACTCTAATATAGATGTATACACAGGCCAACACTTTTACTTCAGATCGCTATTGGTCATCGTCTCATATCCTGTGGATTTATAAGCACAGGATTTATCGCCTGACCTATTACATAATAAGGGAGATGAGACTGTTCGGAATCATAACTCAACCAATCCTCTTACAATTTATTGTTAATTCATGTACTCTGTTCATTTTTCTCCATTCTTCGCCATACTTGTTCTTCCCTAGACTTCTCAAGAAAGACTATGTCATAAATATTGCATAGAACAACACTGAAGGCCGTGATCAGAGTCGGTGGTGTGTGTGCGTCCTTCATTCAGCTGACTGACATTGGGCTTGTGGATATGCACTTCAATTCCTGCAAGCAGTTGGCTAAAGTTATCTTGTCTGATAGTGGACATCCTCTCCACTTAGTTGAAGCCTTTTCCTTGTATATGTATATATATGTATATATATATATACATATATATAGTGGCCTGTTAAAAGCTTCAGCAAATAAAAACCCACATCATTTTATCCCAATATAATTTTTCCTATTCACTTTGTTTCATTCAAAAAAAATTTGACCTCAGACAGTGGTACTGTTTACTGCCAGCGAGTATTTTGTCAAAATATCTACAACCTGTGGGCTTGCAAGTTTACGTTTAAGCATTGTGTTTTTGTGGACTAGCTCACAGTATCTCCCAAAAATATATGATGAGGTAGCTAAGCTGTTGATGATACCTTTTTTAAAACAAGCTGACTACCGATGCCTTGGGAAATAAATCTAAGAACCTGGTTACAGCTTTGAATTATTCAAGGGAGGGCGTGTCACGCGTTTATCGAAGGAGAAAAAGAAGAAATATGATAATGAATTGGTTTGCGCTTCAGATCAGACAGCATTTCGTCAAGTGATCTAATACTCATTACTACTTTCCTTTTGAAGATCCTTGATGAAGAGAAAATTTGTATGATAAACATCGCTGAAAAATTCTGTACATTATTTACAAACTGTCCAGAATAAAACTATTATTATTATAATAATATAAGAGACAATCATTCAGTGCACTAAGTGAATACGTGGAGTCACCTAGTTCACTTGCCATACGATTTGAGAACACAAAATTCGGAGAAGAGATCCTTTTCAATGAATTTATCATAAACCTGGATAATGATATATATATATATTATATATTATAAATATATAATTCGAAAAATTACAAAGATCACAACCAAAACTGTTTTAGTCGCTAATGCATTTTACGAGGAGATTCTATTCTTCAGCGATAGTAAGCAGTCTTCCTGAAAGCTTTAGTGCATCAGAAATGGAAACTAATGGTAATAATCACTTTATATGGAATGGAATTTTTAACCTTTTTTACATATTGCAGAGGTTGGGCTTCTTTAGTAAATTAGTACATACATAAAAATTTTTAAAAAAATACGAGACAAGATAAATGGACAGATTTATCTCTATACTGATAATAAACACCTCAAAAAGATGAACAAACACTCTTCACAAAATCTGAATTCCATAAATTCTCAAGTCAAGCACGCGAAAATTCTTCCACAGCAAAGGCAGAGGTTCGATTCTCGACCCTATAACTCTTTTCCAAAAAACCTCACCTATCGTTTATAAGCTACTTGTAAGTGGATAATAAGGAAAATAACAAAGTCCTATACGTGATCTACACAAACTGGTTCGTTCACATCATGTCTGCAGCACAGAGAAAGACACTGAAACAGAAACAAAATCAAGCACAAAATACCTTGGAATAGTTCTATCCAACGATCTTTCTTCATCATCCCATACATTGTCAATTCCTAGGAAAATGTTTCGTCTAACCTACTACCACTATTAAGAAGTTAAGACAATCGAGTATCAGTTTCCGCATCGACGTTTGCAGTTCGTTAACTCTTGCACCCTACCTGTTGTTCCTTATTGCTTCCTCACCCTGAATCTCTCCAGAGCTTCTCAAAAAGGAATGTGTCATATTTCCAAGGGTATTTAAGGTTGTCAGAGGGACAAGTGATGCGCCAACTGGTGTGTGTCAGCTCGTTACTCTCATAGTCGACAGACATCTGAAGTCATGTGAGAAATGGGTGAAAGGCATATCGTCGGACTCTCAACACCCTCACTACTTACACCTCTCTCCGCCTTCATCTCATCAGGTAGGACTAGAAGTCATTATAAAAGATTGTATGCTGGCACAAGTAGGTACGAAATATCAACGATACTATATTTGGCCTGCTCGCGTTCTATGTGACAGTGGTTATGTTCAACGTGAAACTTATAACAACCTACTATGTTAATTAGCAAAATAAACGGCTCTTTTATCTCATTCTATATGTTACATATCGTGACGCCATTTCATTAATTTTATAACTTTAGTTATTATCATTATAATTACTACTATTTTATACCTTTTGTACGTTTTTGACTTTAAAGTTACTGCTAACGCCAAAAAGTTACTGTTGTCAGTTTTGGTTACCTATACCACGTAATACTTTTTGTTGTTGAGTAAATTATATGCAAGTGTCCACCAGATGTTGAAAATTCCACACTATATCAAAAGTACTATTTTTGGAATAAAGCAGGTCATTACTATAACAAGTTTTATTATTATTAGCATTATTGAAGATTTAAGGGTAAAAATCAAAAATACAAAAATGAATATTACAAAACAATGACTCACCCATTTTCAATGATTTCTCAGTGGTTTTAGTAAAAGTTCAATTTGTTCCAATTAAAGGTTCTGTTTTTTTAGTGGAAATGTAATCGAAGAAAGTCTAAGTCGAAATTTGATAAGAAGTGTATTTTGTTGTGTGTTGTATTGCGATGATGATGTCCAGAGGACAGAAATATTCGAAAGAAAGTTCCTCTCTGTGTTTTTCAGTGTATGTTGGTGTATGTATATAGTTTCCTAATGGTTTGTATTCCTAATTATATGTTTATTGATTTTCTTCCCTTATGCTGTCCTTGTTATCGCAGTACTGCTCATCAGAGGCCGAAATAACGCTGAGTAAGAGAAGCAGAGGAAGGAGGAGTAGGACGGAGAAAAAACTCAGAAGAACAGCTTCGAAGACTAAAGAAACTCAGATGGAAACTAGTAGAGAATGCCTACTAGTGATTTCCTTACTGACTGATTGACTGAGATAAGTTCTCTTTATGTATGAGCAGGCAAAATGTGGAATAGAGGAGGATGGATAGCAGATATGTATAGTGATGAGTGGATGTTGAGCACTCAGCGTCTCGATTGGTCTATGTATCTATGTATACTGTATGTATATGAATAATCCCCTCCACTGGATTCTGAATTTGATTATCGAAAAGCCAAAAAATATACACGATAAAATCACCACAGTAGAGTAGAGTACACCAGAGCTCTCTAAGACACAAATATTCACTCTTCTGGCAATTAGAAAAAAGTATGAATGCACTGCTCAAAACAAAACTTCCATCAGTTTTATAGACTAAATAGTATATTTATTTTATATATATACAAATATGCGTACACTTCTTGTAATAGAAATCAGTCCTTTTTTCATTTTGTGTGTTTGTGTGCTCGTATATATGTGTGTGTGTGTCTGTATGTATGTGTTGGCTAACTGGCTGTCTAGCTAGCTTTTATCTCACAGTCAGTTAGGTAACTAACTAAGTAGGCAGGTAGATAGATATGTAAATTGATCGTAAACTTTTTCGGTACTGATCCGTTATTCACTCATTCATTACGAGAGCTTCTGTTCTGAGTTTTATTGATGTAATTTTCGTGCATTTGTGCTTCTTTGTATATGTGTGCGTGCATGTCTGCCCGCCTGCTTACCTGTCTACTTCCACTGAAGACAGTCAAAATAGCTCACCAACACACAACAAATGCATACACGCACACACAATGAGTTCAAAAATGTGCAGACTATTACATTCTTGAGTAACCAAAACATCCTCACCACCACCACCACCACCAAATTCGTACTCTGCCAAGATCATTACCTACCAACCAACCAACCAACCTACTGGTCTCAAATAATAATAATAATAACAAAAAGAACAAGAATTAGTTAGTCTAAGAATTGTGCTCTTTTTGTATGTTTGTTGTGTGTGAGTAAGTCTGTTTGTTTGTTTGTATGCCTGTGTGTCGGAGGAAGGGGGTGAGAGTAGATAACACTACTAAAATTCAATACAAAATAAGACATTATAATAACCATAAGAAGTAGAAGAGGCATGAGAGTGCACAAAGAGACTCAAAAGTATTTATTTGCGTGGGCGATTTGAATATTTCTTATTTTTAAAAGTAATAGAATAATAAAATAAAATACAATTTGAATTTTGAATTTGAATTTTTGAACTTGAATACTTAAAATCATTTCTACCTTTTACTTAGTATTTTACTATTTGTTATTGCTATTAATTGGCATTATAATGAGTGAGTGAGGGTGGGAAAAAGAGAGACGAGAGAGAATAGGGTTCATTTGGTTCATTATAATTATGACATGTCTATAACCTGAGCACTATGGGCACTGCTCATAATTATACCAGCACCTGTCATTACATATCCTTCAGACTCGATTTTCTGCGTTTCTTTTCGTACCTTCCCATTCGTCATAAAAGTAGTAGTAGTAGAAGTAGTGTGCGATAGGTAGAATATTCCGAATACTTGGGAGTAAGACAGTTGCGTTTTGAATCATGCCTGTTGCATCTGCATTCTCAGTTCATTCGATCAACAAAAATCCGAAAGAAGCTGTATTTTTAGTTTCACATGAAAATAGGACTTGATAGGATTGGCTGATTCAGTCCCATGATTCCTGTAATATTCACGACACTGTGTGATGGAGAGTAAATCGAATGTTTCTTATCTAGCCATCACTTTCTCTTAAAATCTCTGCTAGTCATAATCTCATATCCTGTGGATTTATAAGCCGAAGATTTATCAAATAAAGTATGATTACGTTTCAATAGTTTACACACAATGATAAGTTTTCCTCTTGGTAGTATTTCGAGCAAAATTACTGCCCGTGCTCACACCACTGTTGGAATTGTTCTCTTTTCTATTTCGAATTAAAAAAGAAAACAAACTTGTCATTGTGTGTAAACTATTGAAATATAATTATACTTTATTTGATCTTTTCCACTGAAATTACTGACATTAAGAAGATTTATCGCCTGACCCATTACATAATAAGGGAGATGAGACTGTCCAGAATCATAACTCAACCAATCCTCTTACAATTCATTGTTAATTCATGTACTCTGTCCATTCTTCTCCACTCTTCATCACACCTTTTCTCCACCGGAATCCTGAAGAAAGACTATGTCATAGATATTGCGTAGAACAACACTGAAGGCCGTGATCAGAGTCGGTGGTGTGTGTGCGTCCTTCACTCAGCTGACTGACATTGGGCTTGTGGATATGCACTTGAATTCCTGCAAGCAGTTGGCTAAAGTTATCTTGTCTGATAGTGAACATCCTCTCCACTTAGTCGAAGCCTTTTCCTTGTATGTCTTCGGAGGTGAAACGAGAAGAGACCTGACGAGAATTTGTGTTCGTACAGCTACTACATATGCAAATTCTACCACACCACCATATTTGGGACGGCTTTTGTGTGTGTGTGTGTGTGGAGAGGGAGAGAGAGAGAGACAAATGTCAGCAAGGAGCGTATAAACTTTCAAAATCAGTAAGTGAAGTGCAAAGTGAGAGGGAAGATTATTATCACGAGTAATATCTACGATATTATCTACTTATACTCCATTGCGTTTATTACTGGTATTTTTTTCTAAAATTGTGTATATACATCATTATCGGAAGGAGTTGGATTGTTGCAATATGTATAAAACGCTGAAAATTCCATTCTTTATAATTATTATGATTTGGAATGAGGTGATCACTATTTTGCCTCATTTCATTGATAATGGTTACAACAAACGATTGAAGAAATTCCCTGAAGGTTATCTCTGATGAGTTGTATTAAAGAACCTTTAGAAGGTGAATTTAATCCAGCCTTTTCCACATAGCTAAAGCTATGCAGTGGGGTTGGATTCTAAAGAAGAATCCTAATCATTTTCATCAAGGAAAAGACCCTTTTTCACGTTTGCATCTCTTTTGACCTAGCTGGATAAATTCCATCTGAAACTTTCAGTCCTGGCTGATTCACCATTTTCCTAAGTAAATTTATTATATTTATTTAAAGTTTGATTTCAAGATTTCAACATGAACTGACATCGGTTAGAGAAAACCAGTCATGGCATGGAGTACTGAACAGCTGTTCATTCCATCCTCCTGGTGCTGGACTCTTCATCAGTATGCACCCCACTGTCAGGGTTTGAGCCCAGGACCTCCTATTTACAAGTTGAGCGATCTCGCAAACCACTAAGCCATTGGGACCCGATCCAGTGATCAGCTCATGAATTCTTACTTCTGCCGATTGACAATATAGCCTGACCACTAGCCAATTTCATTAGTGAGTATTCGTCTTCACGCTTGACTTGCTGTACCCCACTTGTCCTGTTTTTGAACCCCAGTGAGTGCTTAATGCTGTAGAGTCGTAAACTAGGACGAATTATATGTCCAGCATTCACTGCCTATTTTTCCAATGGTCCCCTAACTGATTTCAGCTCATGATGAATTCCTGAAATCAATGAAATCTCTTCAAGTCAACACTTGAAATTCTGATTTATCTATCCACTCCACCTTAAATATTATGTAACTTCTAAAATTTTGAACTTATTTATTTGTTGAACTGTTTTTTATAATCATGTTACTACCTACATCAAATTCTGATACTTATGTTATTATTGGCCTTATTATTATTATGGCTATTATTATTATAGATCAGTTTATAGAAAGCTGACATTGAACGGTCGGATGACAAATTTCTACAGCTGGTTGCCCGCTGGTCAAAAAGGAAACGTGATCTGATCACTTGCCACTTGCACCTTCAGCTGATATATAGTTCTCTTACTGTGAAGGAAGAGTTAAGTCTTTCACGAAAAATCCTAATGGAGACAGTTAAAACCCTACCAAACGTGACTTACCGTCTGTAACTGAGAAAATAACTGTCAACAACATCCTTGAAAGAAGGATCTCACTATCCTCACTGAAAAAGACATTCACTGCTACGGCATCATCTAGCAGATCATTACTGTTCATCAATAACCTATGGAACAAGATCCCACAGTCGATCAACTCTATATATACGTTTATCAATTCAGGTGCTTGTGTGGAGCTAGTTATATCAATTGTTTGACCCGAGTTTTGTCCAAAAGGATTCAAGAACACTGACTTTTCTTGGTGGTTACGAAGAGGTGGAAAGGGGTCTATAGGAATCGCAATCGTTGAATATCCGGTCAATATTGGTTACCCTGTCTCTATAGCCTCTTCTTTTAAAGTTATCTGTAAGGTGAAAACTAAATTGCCCAAATCACTCCGTACTATCTAACTTATCTATTGTACTGATGGACCTTTGGCCGTCGAAATGGAAAAGCTAGATCACTGAATGCACTGTTCATTCAAACTCTTCAACTTTCATAGTCTTAATCCGTTTGTGGTAAAGCATGATAATCCCTAACCCCGCCTAGATTACTAGGTCACTAGTATTCTAGCCGGTCCCAAGCCCGGATAAAGAGGGAGGGTTGGGGCGTGGTGCTAGCAACTCCACCCCCAAAACTTAACCAAATTGCTACTAAAACTTCAACGCACAAATAT